TCTCGCGCTGTTTAGGCATGTTTTATGCCGTTGATCATCGTCGCCTTCCTTAATAAATAAAACATTTATTCATGCTAGGGTGTCGGCGGTGAATCCAGTGGAGAGAAATCCCCCACAACTAACTGCAAACTGGCATTCAGATCTGATCAAATCAAGTCTCGCCCTCTCATTTCAGATGCCGTTTCACTCGGATATACGTCACAGCAGAGGAGAAAAGACAATCGCAACTTCCGTTTCATGCCGACTTTAAGCTGGAGTTGGTTCACTTTCCGGCAATGAAACTAAGTAAATAAATAATTAAATTTGCACGATAATATCGTGTTTCAGTGATCTTACAGGCTGACGATAGGACGAAACGAAAATTAAGCATATCGCCCAACACTAGTACAGTATGAAAAATTTATATTAATTTAAAGATTTAACAGTGTTTTATGGAGTAGTTATTATTTAAAAAAAAAAATGTAATAACATTAAATATCCAGTATCCAATAAAGATTTTTAATAATGTTAAACACTCTCATTCATAATGTTAACACTACTGTTCAGATGTTTGGGCTCATTTAGATTGCTACTTTTATTCAGCAAAGTTGCATTAAGTATCATAAGTGAAAGTAAAAACATTTATACTGTTACAAAAAAATCCCTTTTATATTAATGCAGTTTTTTAAAACTTTGTTCATCAAGGAATCCTAATCAATGCAAATCACCACGCTCTCACAGCGAATTAGGTGCCAAGACCTATATTTCTTGGTTGGTCTGCACTCATTAATTCTTTTATTAAAGGGTTAGTTCACCCAAAAATGAAAATTCTGTCATTAATTACTCACCCTCATGTCGTTTCAAACCCCTAAGACCTTCGTTCATCTTCGGAACACAAATTAAGATATTTTTGATGGAATCTGAGAGCTGTCTGACCCTGCATGAAAACGCTTTAATGTCCCTGAATGTTTGAGTGGTAGTTTATCGGCCTGAGCATCGGTATTGCACCAACATATTGTTCATCACTAGTTTAAAATGTTTATTAATGATTATCTATAGGAAGAAGAGGTGGTCTCTGCGCATAGGTTTCCATCAGTCTTGCCTTGGTGCATCTGGTTCATGTCACATTTATCTCTGATTCATCCACTCAGAGTTTACTGAAAACAGGTGGCATACAGTGAACAAAGTTCAAAGTCAATGTTTTTATTCCTAAAAGAAGTGTCCCTCTGAATCACAAGCACCTTTTTTCCCTGTGAATTTCTTGTTAACACTCTTTTCTGACTGTTGTTAACAAAGATTCAGACCAGCCCTTATACAATTCATCTCTGTTCACAAGTTGATTTTTTTAACTAGAACTTTTAACTCAATGCTGTTTTCATTTATTTTGCAAGCCTAGTGATTGGATTCTGCTTTTTTGTCTTAAAGCAGGTTGGTTTGTATTATCAAATGAATAGGGAGAGAAAGTTTTCTATTTTGAGCTGTTTGGTGTTTCCTCAATACTAGAGAATAGCTTGTCTTTTGTTAAAAATATTTGAGCTTTTTGTGGTTTAGTTTTATTAGTAGTAGGGATGGCAATTTTCGATCATTTCCATGATCGATCGTCGTTTAAATTAACGATCAATTAATCGATTAATCGTTAACTTTAATGCAGCAAAATGCGTCTATTGCAGCAGCACGCAGTCACCGGCATGACAGGATGTGCAAAAGCCACTAAAAAAAACGCTTTCTCACCCGAATTAAAGGGGTTTTAGTCTGAATAAAATGCTAGTAGCAGGATTGTAAAATGAATAGATATGATCATTTGATAAAATGAAGAGAGCGCGCCGTACGTTTGAGATTCACCGTCACTCACAGCGGCTCGCACGTGTTTTGCGCATGAGCCGCACGCAGCCCAAAATTAAACGACTTAATCGACAATGATAGCTTTAATCGATTGCATCTCTTATCGACAATTAATCGATCATCGATTAATCGTTGACATCCCTAATTGGTAGTAAACCAGACTTTGTTTTAGTCTGAAAAGCCACACTTACAGTTGATTACATTTCTAGGTTCCCTTTCTACATGAGCAAACTTGTTTGTTCATCCATTTTTATTGTTTTATTTCAGCTACTGTATTAAGAAAGCAAATATGTATGCTTGCACTACTGTTTAAAAGTTTGGGTTCAGTAAGTTTATATTTCTTTAGTATGTTTTTTTTTTGTCATTTTATTTTATTTGTTAATACTTTTTGATTTGGCAAGGATGCATTAAACTGGTCAAAAGTAGGGTTGGGTATCGTTTGAATTTTATCGGTTTCCGATTCCGATTCTGATTATCGATTCCGATTCTTATCGATTCGTAGTTTCGATTCCAATAAGATAAAAAAATCCAATATAAAAAAAAATTAAGTCAAACATTTAGATGTCAAACATTTATTCTGTCTTTTTACAAAGCATTCTGTTGCAGCTGAATAACACGAGCAAAAATCAGCAGCCTACAGAACACTGCAAGAGGAATTTTGCCTATGGTTTAAAAAAATACCACAGCAAAAACAACTAGATTTAACATAAATTTCAAATATTAAAGTGTTAAAGACAAGTAAACAGTCAGTAATAAGATAGGAACAAACAAATCAATAAGCAATATCATAAGTGACATTTATAATGTTACAAAAGATTTCTATTTTAAATAAACTTTGTTTTTAACATGGTTGTAACAAGACATGTTATTAGAATGATCATGTGGCACTGAAGACGTTTCATTTGGGGGATCTGACATGTAATCAGGTTTATAGTTACTAGATATTTTTGTCATAATTAATTATTTCTCTATGTTTATGTTTTGTTATATTCATGAGAATTTAGTTCTCTGTTACCTTGAACTGTCCTTGGGTGGTAACGTGATGTGAAAGATATGAATCGGCCATTAAAAAATGATTCTTGCTAAACATTTTTGTCCTGAAATTATTTATCAAGAGTAGAGCATTATATGTGTTTATAATGTGTTTTAGAGTTACTTTGTCGGTTGTCTGTATTTATTTTAAAGCCTGGGACTAAATAACTCACAGCTGATCTATTTTCCACAGCCCTGGCACAAAACACGTCACACAAGAGGAGAACCATTTGATGGAAGAAAAGAAAAAGAAAACGCAAGAGGAAAAGAAAAAGAAGGAAGCTGCTCAGAAAAAGGTCAGTTTCTTTCGCGTGACCCACAAGCTTTCACGTAGAATCTTTCGCTTGCATCCTTGTTATAAAAGCCGCTTAACTGACACCTTACTGATTCTGTCATAAGTTCTGAGACATCTTTACCAATGTAAACCACAGGTACCAAACTGGACACCTAGAGCTGACAACAATCTGTTTAGCATCTGCCTTTGAAGCTCTGTTCAAACACATATAGTTATTATGGTGCTCACTTCTTAGACATCGTCGTGGAGTCATCTTGGTTTTACTAATGCAACATTCACCGAGGTTACACAGGCCACGTCCTGCTGCTCTTTGGATTGATTAAGCACCAAATATTCAGCTAGATCTCTATTTAGCATAATACTTAAATAGAAAATCAATCAGTTATAATCAGTAATGTTTTCCAAGATTTATGTTCCACTAGTCACTTTTACTCGGTTTTGTTCTTCCAGAAGAGACGCTTTCTTTGTTATAAAGCTTTTGTACGTTGGACCTGTGAAAGTGTTCATCTCTGTCTACCTTTGTTCTTCCTTTACAGGCTGCTGAACAGAAAACCAAAGGTCAGTTATGATTCTCTTTGCAATGCTGCTCTAAGTTTATTTTTTAAAGATCTTCTCCATATACATATGTTCGTACCACATGCATCTCAAACACTACTGGAGTGGCAAAACAAAATAGTTGTATGTGCGACAGAATTTTTAAATGCTAACTGGCTAGTGTGTCTTTATCACTTGAGAGTAGAGAAGAGGTGAAGAGTAGGTTCTGTGCAGTTATTTAGTGTATGTGGGCGAACTGAATGACTGGCACAAGACAGCGCAACAGTTGGTAGAGACAAATCGGCCATGTTTGGTAACAGCTGAAGGATTTTGTGCATTTTAAACATTTAAAAGCAGGTGTATTGAGCAGTTGTAACTGGCCATGCAGTAAATCAGGATTATATTCCTTAAAGGGATAGTTCACCCAAATTTGAAAATTCTGTCATTAATTACTCACCCTCATGTCTTTCCACACTCATAAGACCTTCGTTCATCTTCTGAACACAAATTAAGATTTTTTTGATGAAATCCGTGAGCTCTCTGACCCTGCATAGACAGCAACGCAACTGACACGATCAAGGCCCAGAAAGGTAGTAAGGACATCGTTAAAATAGTCCAAATTAAAAGAGAAGGGAGAGTGACAGCACTGGAAGAGAGACAGCGAGAGCAAGAGAGGAAAGTATGTGCTGAGCTGACGTGTTTGGTTGAGGACTCCTCGCCCCATAGGACAGGTTACGCCCCCTTCATTGAGAGGGATGAGGTATGAGGCAGTACATTTTAGACAGCAGAAAGGGCTTTTTGAGGGCTGTCGTGGGGCAGATGGGAGAGGGGCTTATGTCATGTGAGGGATAGACAGTCATAAATCTCATTAGAGCATCTGCTAATGCTGGAACTCTCAAACATCAGACTTGACGCAGGAAGAAGTGCTGGTTTAATGCTTACAGGGACCTTCTATTGCAAAATACTCCGGAGAACTGAGTCGTCTTTGTCCTTCTTTCACACTTTCATCCTCCGAATCTCTGTATCACCGCATGAGAATCTCTCTTTTCTTTAATCAGGGTGCACTAGGGGCATTCGCAGAGTTCTGCTAATTAGATGTAATCTGGTTTTGCTTTGTTTCACATCTTTCTTTATCCCCTCTTGGGCCACGGTTCCTAAGGACACACATTATCTTCAGCTGATAAGGATATGTCTCTTCCTTCCGCCTGTTAGATCTTGAATTTGCCTGACCGGTTGCTGGGTGGCTCGACATGTGTGTTAGATTTCTTGTGCGTAAAGAAAAGTAAGATAGACCAAAGCACTTGTTTGTTGAGAAGGATTTGTCGAAGGTGATAGTGTAGCATAACCCTCCTGGATCGATGTTGACCTTTCTATGTCTAAGCCTTCTAAATCCTTTACCCAAGATACCGTCTGTGTGACGGATCTTTTATAATCTCACAAATGTGATACAAACAAATAGATAAAGTGATGTTAGAACTGTGGCAAATGGTTTTCCTTGTTAATGTAGGTTTTGCTGATTCAAGTTTTAAAGTTAGTGGGCTGTTTGAACAATTAGTTGGTCTTAGGGATAGTGCACACAAATATTAATATTGTGTCATCATTTACTCATTTATGGAGTTATTTCAAAACAGTTTGGCTTTTTTTCTTCTTCTGTAGACATAAAAGATGATGTTTTTTTTCTATCCATACAATGGAAATAAATAGTGTGGTTTGCAACATTCTTCAAAATATCAATTTCATTCTTCAAAATATAAATTCAAATTAATGACAGAATTTTAATTTTTGGGTTAACTATCCCTTTAAAGAAGCTCTGTATATATAGACTGGTTGAGGGCATGTCGATCTGATGCCAGATGTGTTTTCAAAGATGTATAGATGCTAATCTCAATTGTTCAGTGGGGTAACTGACAGGTATTCATCACACAAAATGACTGAATTATGCAACCTTTTAGCAAACAAAATCATCAGTCATTATAAATACAGAGACCTACGCGTTAATAACAGCAAGTGATTTGAAGACTGACAATCATTGTCGTGAAATGTTAAAGTTTGAAGGCTCGACACAACTTCTTTTAGTCTTTCAACATGTTCAAACACTCTCTGTGAAGTTGTGTTCCCTTTAAAGCACTGCCACTAAAAATATTAAAACCACATAAAAAGAAAAAAAAAAGTAGTTGACCTCATTTTTCATTTTTTGCCTACTAGTTGACAATTCTGACTGTGCTTCCTTCTAATAACAAGTATATATGTGATGTTCTCTGAGTGTTAGTTGGACATTTTATATTCAGCATGGTGTCACCTAAAGAGCGTATGTGTCATTAGAGAAAGGTGAAGGTGAGCTCTGAGGCGTGAAGCTCTGGAGAGACTGGAGAGGCTTTGGTACAGAGTGAGCAGTAGATGACTGCCGAACCATCTTTTTCTTTTCAAGAGAGGCCCAGGAGGCCCCACACAGGGGCACATGCACAGACACACACACAACCTGCAGAAATTCACAGAGAAGTGCTCTTGCCAAACCGACGGAGTATTTTTGTGGAATGAAGAGAGAGAGGGAGAAAAAAAAAGAGGAATAACAGAAGAAAAAAAGGTTGATGGAAAGCTGCTGTAGGTGTCTGTGTCAGTAGAGGAAGAGAGCGATGGAACCGTGTGAAAGAAAGAGTGAGAACCTGCTTAAGTTTCCTGTCTCTTTGTTTTGGCCGCAGAGAAACTCAAAGGCCTCGGCAGATATTCAGGCAACTGAAAAAAAAACAACCTCTCCTTTTTCTCCCAAGCTATTTCTTTCTCTTTCACTTTCTAACTCATTGTGTTAACTCAATCTCATACACACAAACCTCATGGACTAATCAGGTTTGCTGCTGATTTTGAATGATTTTTCAGTTGTTTCTGCTTTTCTTTTCTTTTTTTTCCCCCCGGTTCAGGTACCACTTCAGCCACTGGTACGTTCTGTCTTGCACACTTATTATATACTTTTGGTTGTCTTTAACAAGCCCTGCTTTTCAGTAATAAAGGTGGTTGTCTAGTTTTGGTTTGGTTTGAATCGAGTTATGATACTGTGAAATGTATTGAATTTTTACATATGTATTATATCTTGAGGAATGTGATTGAGTGGGTACTGTTTGGATCAGTCACTTAGAAAATAATGGTTTGTGTACACTAATTGCTGGATTTGCGATGGTTTGCACTCCATGTCATCAAATCTCGAAAGCTTCTAAAAAGATTTTTGTTGGAATCACACAGCAGCAAGAAAACAGCTAAGTCTCAGTCACAAGTCTATATTATACTTTTCAGTAGAGCCATATCCATTAACAATTTTATTTTACTTATTTCTTTTAGTGTCGACTGTAAGATGTGTATGTATCTCTAATTGTATCTCAACTAGTAGGGCATGGTGGTAGCAACACTTGGGTACTTCTCAGGAAACTCACATACTGATAAACAATATCTTATAGTTAGTTACTGAGGGTTGCGGAATATTTTAATTTTGTCAGTAATTGTTTACATTAGGGTTGGGCCGATAGACGATGCCATGGCTGATGGATATCACGATGTTGAGCCGGCATCGTGATTCCCCCTCCCCCCTCAATCCGTCGCGTCCCAATACCGTGTTCGGAAAGAAAATTACGTATATACGGAACCCCTAAAGGGAATAAATACGAGATGGGAGGAAAATATGTATTTCAATACTTTCTCTCGCAGTTTTATCATTGGGTAATTATACTGTATATAAATTGCGGGCATCAGGGGAGCCGCTATTATGCCTGGCATTGAAACTGCTTTTGAATGCACGATCGCTTTTTAGTTTCACTTTCACTTTTGAGATTCGCGATCGCTTGTACTCTGTTTATATTATGGAGCGGCAGTACTTACCACACATTTTACAAATCATTCGCCGATCGATCTATCAGTCATCTCTCCTAACTATGTTTATGTGGTAAGTTAAATTTTATGTACTGTAATGTAACAGGCAACCGTTGGCAAACGTTATTTGTTTTCCGTGCCTTTCTAAATACGGATTCACACCCGGCTTCACGATGTCATCGTCCATCGCGATGTTTCACTGTAGACATCGTCCGATGCCAATTTTGTAGACATCGCCCAATCCTAGTTTACATTATTTTGCTGAGACTGTTGTGCCACTATTTTAATGACATTTTATTGATTTTAGATTGACTTCCTCCTAAACATCAGGAAAGCATGAACAGGAACTGGTTTTTATTGTTCAGACAGCCGTGTTTGTATTGCAGCCCATTCACATGAATGAATGAATGAATGACACATTTATATAGCGCTTTATTGTGTATTGCTGTACACCCAAAGTGCTTTACAATCATGTGGAGGGGGTCTCTCCTCAACCACCACCAGTGTGCAGCATCCACCTGGATGATGCGACGGCAGCCACAGGACAACGGCGCCAGTGCGCTCACCACACACCAGCTACCGGTGGAGAGGAGAGAGAGTCATAGAGCCAATCAAGTGGATGGGGATTATTAGGAGGCCATGATTGACAAGGGCCAGTGGTGGCAATTTGGCCAGGACACCGGGGATACACCCCTACTCTTTACGAGAAGTGCCATGGGATTTTTAATGACCACAGAGAGTCAGGACCTCGGTTTAACGTCTCATCCGAAAGATGGTGCTTTTTGACAGTATAGTGTCCCCGTCACTACACTGGGGCGTTAGGACCCACACAGACCACAGGGTGAGCACCCCCAGTTAACATCGTTAACTGTTATGATAAATAAAGTTTTCTTAATGACACAGAGGAATGCTATTGTTGGGATCACTTCAGAATTTTTTTTCTCCATCTAATGAATGATAAAAACATTGACAGCCAATCAGAATCACCTGATTTTAAACAGCTCATGTATTTGAAGTGGCAGACGACAGGCCTGCAGCGTGGCTTTACAGTAAACAGAACTTTGTTGTCCGTTGGTGTGGATGCTAATATCGCAGTAGTTATCGTTCTTTGTGTAAACATCGTTTAGTCTGTTTGATATGGCAGTCAGGGGCTGTTCTAGCGGGGTCCA